AGTAAATATTCTCATTAACACTTTGCATTAGAGATAATAAATAAATAAATGCATTTAAATTTGAGGGAAAAATGATTTTAAGACTGTAATTATACCCCTAGCCATTTTTTTCAAGAATTAAAGAAAAAAATTTTAGATATTGAAAAATTGAGTAATTTTTCCTTCTGTGTACCATTTTTGGGGAGAGTTACTTGGCAATACATTCCAGCAACATTAGAATGAAGCATCTTAAAAGGGATGACACAAAATTCAGAAAAGACTGGCTCTACCCCAGGAGGATAAGAATAAAATTCTCAGCAAATAGCTGGGCAAAGCCCTGGTGGCCTGACAGCTGAGTGACAGGTAAGATGTCCTCAGAAGGGACCTCCTGAACTGAGTCTATACAATCCTGAATATGATTCGTGAAGCTATGGTGAAGGCACGTTATTCGTTTGAGGGAGAAAAAAAAAGAACAAGAAAGCATTGAACAATATTTGTGTCTGTCTGTGAGTGTGGGAATGTGTATTAAAAGCATCCACACAATTAATTTCTGCTTAGGGAAATTGAAATTTAGGACCCTCATTTTTCCTACATCCTCCATTAATTTTATAGATTTTGGATATATGTTTTTGGAATCTGTGTTGTTTAATCCATGTGCTTTTATAAATATTAAATGCTCTATTTTTCCTTTATAATTCTTCCTTTTTTGCCGCAAATTCTACCTTTTTCCTAATATGCCTGTTGTTATGTCTGCTCTGCTTTAGATAGAATTTGCTTGGCATATATTACTTTCACATATATATATAAATATATATGTACGAAATAATATAAGACATATGTGTAGAATGTACATGTATATGTATAAAATATATAATTATCTTATATATATAATAACATTATAGCAAATGCCCATGTAACTTGTAACCAATGTTAAAAATATTGAACAAGGCCTTAGAAATCCCTTCTTGAGAATAACCCTCTTCTTATATCTGAGAGGCAATCAATATCCTGGATTTTGTTAACATAATTTCCATGATTATTTTATAGATTTAGTATCCAGCAAATCTTTTCTAAAGTGTAAATTGCTATTTTGTAGTTTTGAATTTTAAGTTGATCATGCTGCATGTATTCTTTTGTGACAATTAAATCATTCAGTATTGTGTTTGTGAGAGTAAAGCGTACTCATCCATCTAAATTAAGTTCTTTTATTTTTTTCTACAATGTAATATTCCACTACAGACCACATTATACTGATGATGAGCTTCTGCATTGTTTCCGGTACTTGACTGACTCTTTAAAGGTTTGGGTTCATGTTTCTTAATGAACATGCACATGCAAACCTAGGATTAGAATTCAACTCCTGATTAGAGTAGATAACTATCCTCAATAGTACCAGAAATTCCAAAACTCTTTTTAAAAATGAAAATTACAATTTTCATTCCCAGGAAAACATATGAAATTCTCATTACTCTACCTCTTTGCCAAAAGTTGCTGTGTGAGACTTTTTTATTTTTGTCAAACTGTTGTGTAAATAATAATATCTGGTAGCATTTTATATGGATTTTCTGATTACATATAAGTTTGAGCACTTCTAAATATGTATTATGGACACTTAGATCTCACATTTCATAAGGCACAAGTACAAATCATTTTCCTTTATTTTTATGTTGGGCTTTCTGCAATTTTTCCCAGCTTCAGGTACCATTTTAATTGTTGTCCATATGCATAACCAGTTTTACCAGCCGCATTTATTGACAAATCCATCTTTCATCATTGAACCATAATATTAGCTCTTCTAAATATCATGTACCCATATGAACGTTTTTCTTATGTTGTTTATTCCATTTTGTTGATATGTTTGTCTATTACTTTCCTAATACCACACTGTATTATTATGATTATAATATATAATATATAGTATATATTATATATAATTATAATTTTATAATACATCCCTCAATTTATTCTTTATTTATTCTTTTCCTCAGAAATCTGTACGCTAAACTTGGGCATTTTGTTGTTTAATGTACATTATAGAATTAGCTTGACAACATTTAAATAAAATCTTACTAGGATTTTACTTGGGATGCATTGATTATGAAGATGAATTTGACTTCTTTGACGTTCTTCCAGTCCAAGAATGGTAAAATTCTGCATGTTTGAGTCATCTTAAATTACTATTGATAACGTTTTTTTTATCATTTTCCACAAGATCTGGCGTACTTTTTGCTGAATTTATTCTTAATAACTGGATTTTAAAATTCTATTGTAAGTCATATTGATGGTGTTTTACTTTGTAGCTCATATATAAAATGCAATTCATTATTGTATAAAGAGTTTGTGTCAACCTTGCTAAAATCTCTATAAATTAGTATAATGGATCTGGTGATTCCTTTGAATTTTCTGTGTGTGTAATAATATCATCAATGATATGATAGTTTGTTTTCTCTTTTCCAACCATTATGTTTTTCATTTTATAAATCTTACTCCCATGTCTACAACCTCCAATATGAAAAATAGAATTGTTTATGGCATCGATGTTTATCTTGTCAATCTCAAAGGAAATATTTTAACATTTCATTGTTAAGTATGTTGCTTTCTAAAGGACTTTTGAACACAAACTTTATCAGGTTAAGAACATTCTCTTTTACTTCTACATTAAAATGTATGATTTTTTTAAAGAACATAGCATGGACTAAGCTTATGATTTTGTTAAATCTTTGTTTCAGTGCATCACATTGTTTGATACGTTCATGAGAAGCCATCACTGCTTTCCAGGGTTTCTTGGAATCAACCTTTTTGGCCTTGATATCTTACTTTTAAAACATTGCTGATTTCTGCTTGATAATCTTAAATTTTTCTTCATCACATTTTTGTAAGTGAAGTTGGCTTTAATTTACTTTTCCATTACTTTCATGGTCAAGTTTTGATATCAAGGTTGTTACAACATCATAAAATGAATTACAGTATGTCCCCTCCTGGTTTATGCTCAGAGAAATCATACGTAATATTGGAGTTATTGTTTTGTTTCCTGTTTGGAAGAGCCTGCCAGTAAAGACATCAAGGCTTGAAATGATCTTTATAAGTTGATTTTTGATTACTGATTACATGAGTTTGATATAGGATAATTCAGGTTTTGTATCTCCCTTTAGGTTACTTACTTTTAGTGAAATACATGTTTCAAACAATTGTATATTTCACATGCATTTTAAATTTATTGAGCTACACTACTCATATGACCCTGATTTCTCTTTTGAATGTTTGTATTATCTACAAAAGTGGTCAGCAAATTGTGAGCTGTGAGCCAGCCAGTTTTTATAAGTAAAGTGTTACTGGAATACAGTCATGATCATTCATTTACATATTGTCTATAATTATTTTGTGCCACAACAGTAGAATTGACTAGTTTCAACAAACCATATGGCTCAAGAAGCCTAAGGTGTTTATCATCCTATCCTTTAAGAATAAGTTTATTGACACCTGATATATAATTACTTCTCATTTCATTTCGGATATTGGGTATTTGTTTCTTATTTTTTTAAACAGTTTCTCTAGATGTTTGTCAATTTTCTTTCTCTTTCGAGTTTTACTGATATGTAATTGACATAGAACCTTGTGTTAGTTTAAGATGTACAACATAATGATTTGTTACATGTATATATTATGAAATGATTACCACAATAAGCTTTGTTAACATCCATCACCAAGGTCTGTCAATTCTTTAATGCTTTCAAAGAACTAACATCTCTTTGCTTTATTTCTTGACTTCTTTTTCTCTATACTCTTAATCACTATGTATATATTTATTATTTCCTTCCATTTCTTGTTGCTTTTTGCTAATTTCTTAAAATAGATGCAAAACAAATTTAACTTACTAATTTCTAAGATTAAGAATTTAAATTTCTAAACTTCCCTCCAAAATGCCACATTTTATACTGTAGTGTATTTCTTGCTTTCTAGTTCAAAATATTTTCTAATTTCCATTACGATTTTTCTCAGACCTTGAATTATTGAGAAGTGAATTTCTTAATTGCTAAATATATGCAATTTTTCTGACACTGTGTTATTGATTTCTGGTATAATAATATTGTGATGAGAGATCTTACTGTATATAATAGATCTTGTTCTATTTGATATCAGTTTTTAAATTTATTGAGAAATGTAGCTTCTTTGAACTTCTATGTACTCTTGCAAAAGATTTTTTTCAACTGTTAGATATTGTATTTATTTATGCCCTTTATGCTAAGTTTTTAAATTATGTCAAATTTTCTTTTCTTTACTGATTTAAAAAATCTGTTGTTTGGTCCATATCTAACTATCTACTCACTTATATATAAATATGTATAGTTCCCAATGTTGAAACAACTATTGTCATTATTATTTTTTAAAAGTATATTTTAGGATTTGATAATAAGCCTCATTTCTATTTACCTTCCTAATATACATAATTTCTTATTTGTTATATTACACCATGCTTATTTGATTTCATATATGTCTAGAAGATAGATCTTAACCCATATCTATATTTATATTTTCAGCACATGGTATATCCTAATAAAAAATATCTTTTGAATTAATCATCCTATGTACACAGAAATTGCTCTTTCTTTACATCTATTACTATTCCTGTAACATTCTTCTAGCTATCAGACATTGGGCTAGTTAATTAAGTTCTCAGCCTTTACTTTCTTGTCAATAAAATGGTGATAATAATACATACCTGATCAAATTTTTGTGAATATTAAGCATTATAACATATGTGAAAGAGCATAATAAATGAAGCAATATAAATTTTGATGTGACATCTTTGTCATAGCAGGTAGTGGTAGCAGCAAAAATAGAATTTTCTTTTTTTCATCTTAATTGAGGTATGATTGGCACAAAAAAATTGTATATATGTTTAAGGTATACAACTTGTTGTTTTCATATGTGTATACATTGTGAAATAATTGCCACAATCAAGCTGATTAGCATGTCCATCACCTCACATAGTTACCATTTTCTTCCTCTCTTTCTTTCCTTTTAATATGGAATGCTTCATGAATATGTTGGTCACCCTTGCACACAGGCCATGCTCATCTTCTCTGTATCATTCCAATTTTAGTATACGTGCTGCCAAACCAAGCACAAAGGATTTTCAATTCCAAGATTCACAGCTGTTAATTTGGGCTAAACATAATTATATTCCTCTGGTTCTGGGAAAACTTACCTGTTGTTTGTTTATAGAATTGAATATAAACTAAATCAGTGCAAGAATTCTTGTCTTTTTGCTCATTGCTGTAGCAATCTGTAGCAATAAGGATAAACTAATGAATAATTTTATTCAACAAACATGAATATATGTATGCATATATTATATATAGACATAGTGTATGTATGTCTAGTAGGTGTGTGTGTATACTCACTCACATAATCATATGATAGGTGTGTGATTAGTAGTAATTCCAGCACTAGTTACATTAATTTTTATTAGTTTCCACTCTGTTCCAAAATGTGCTAAAATATATAGAGAGTGGTGGAGAAATTAACTATTGCTCAGATATTCTGCTAGTCTTAATTAGCAGTAGCTTTTTCCAGAGTGGCGTAGTACCTACAACTAGAATGCATAGATCCACCCTGCCTGGAGGTTTCTAAAGTTGGATGGAAATAGATTAAATTAACTTTAACCTTTTGAGTCCTATAACTTGTGTCAAAATTTTCCTCAGAATTGTATTTTATAGTTTGATTGAAAAGTCTTTGTAAACCTTACTTTCATATGCTTTCTTTACTTTTAATTTAGAATCTATTACATATTGTTATAACTTAAAAAATTTCCTAAGACTACGGGCAAAAATATGGAAGTGGTAAAATTATATTTTCACCTTGGTAATATCTACACCAAAACAGTAATAAGCTAGAAGCTCATCACTACTTTGTTCTGTTTCAACAATAATATTTACTTAAATAAAGTTTTTCAACTTGTGTCTTTTGACAATAAAGTCAAAGTAAACCATTAATCAAATTCAGTAGATATGAAATTAAGAATAGTAATGTGAGGTATTCAGATATTGCATACATGTAGTAGGCACTTGATCTTGTAGGAAATTAAATTTATTTAAGCAAAAGACCATAGTTAACATACTGCATTATGAAATTAGGAATGAAATTCCGACCTATTAGTCATGCAGAAGATCGCAATTAAGTTTTGTTATTTTCATGAAAGTTTCGAATTATGCTTTTAAATCTTTCACTCAAGCCTAAATTTTACTTCAGTTATAACCAAAACAAATGTTTGAAATTATAAATACTTTAAAACAGATTTTGTGTATATTAAAAATAAAAACAGTTTGAACTATTGCATTTTTTCTTAACTACCTTAGTAGTTCTTAACATATTTTCTCTTGGAATGCATAACACAGTGTTTCATGTACTATGGTTGTATTAAGACTTTAAAATGATATTCCTTTGAGAGACATTAAATAACTGAGTGTTCAAAGAAGCAAGGGAAACTCTATTGAACCTGGGAATAAGAAATCAAATGCTAAAAATTACCTACAATACAGAAAATTTTAACAAAAGTATAATCTATATGACTATATATAAGGGAGCTACTTCAACTGTGGTTTTGATATCATGCTGGAAAGTGGACTGACTCATAGGCAGCTCTTGGTACCTGCACGAAGACTAGACATGACTAGTGAGAGATGAGATTTGCCCTTAGGAGTCGAGGAGAAATTTAAAATTGAAGAGAGGCTAAGAGAGGCATCCTGGAGCTCCAGAATTCTGTATATGATGTAGAATCTAGAGAAGTTTCTGTTAAGAGACCTGAAGTAAATATGTTTCAAGAGACATACTTAGGAAAAGGAGAAAAGCAGAAGAGGTTTCAGGTGAAATAAATGAATTTGGCATAGTATAGGCACCCAAAAATCTAAGCACCAACTTACTTTTTCATAGGTTAAATATTTTTTCCAAATAAACTATTGATATAAATATTTATCAAAAGATAGTCATTTATTTTTGAGATAGTCCAAAGATTTAAGCAGTGGGATTAAGATAACTACAATGGGAAATAAAACATTTCAGGAAACCAATTATTTGAGAGGCACATGAAAAATTCTTCAACAACCAGAAAACTGTACATGTTCTTTAATGCGAGAAGGATATAATGTAAATAAATAAGCAAAAAGTGTCAGTATATTTGTTTCCCATTGTTGCGTAACAAATTATCAAAAAATTAGTGGCTTGGAACAGCATACATGTATTATTTCAGTTTCCATAGGTTCATAGTCTGGGCATGCTTTGAATCTCACAATTTTGCAATCAAGAGGTTGTCTTGACTGTTGTCTTATCTGAAGCTCAGAGTCTTCTTTCAAGCTTAATCATGTACATGATATCCCCTCATAGTCACAGGTTTCCCCACGTTCAAGGAGAGGGTGTTGTAGAGAACGTGTATACCAGGAGGTGAGAATCTTGGGAATCATCTTGTGAGTCTACCTACCATAGTCAAGAACTGTAAGGCACCTGAGATTTTACCCCACTTGAAAGCTACCTGCTAACTTGCCATAGTTTTATAGATGCTGGGAGAGGACACAAGATTCCTGAGTCAGGACCAAGGATGTTAATACTCACAAACCAGAGGTAGCAGGTGTTTCATGATTGCCTTGGTTTCCCTTCACTCCCAGAGCTATTCAGGGTTATGCTGAGTGGTCCAGGTAGATGCTGCACACATGGATGTGCGTGCCTTGGCTGAGGAATCTCTCACAGAGAGGCCAGCAATACTCCTATCCAACCTTTGCTCTCTAGGAGGACACTGTCTTCATTATCCTTGTCAGGAAGCTAATCTTCCCTTTGTCCCGATGTAAGACACTATTGTTATCTTCCAAGGCTGTTTTTTATACAAACAGCTTTGAAGAGATTGTCTGCAACTAAAGCTTTCAATGCCCCTTACTCGGAAGACATGCAAAAATGCAAGAGACTTAGGAAGAACATCTTCTTTATATGTCTTTTTATAAATTGATTTTAATCAGTTTATATTTGTGTATTAATTTTGTAGTTTTAAAAATAATTAGAATTTGGAAACTTTTCTTCTATATCTAATTCCTTTTCTTCCTTTGCACCTTAGAAGCAGACATCATGCTTTAGTAAGATCACTTAGTTTCAAAACTTCATTCAGCTTTTACTACCAATTGCTTACTAGTGAGTCCTACCATGTGACACGTAAAGTTTATTATCTGCTTCTTATTATTTCAGCTATATTTTTATCCCCATCCTTAAAGTTGGATTTTCATCTTTTTTTTTTTTTTTAGGTATGCTTTTTGGTGAGGAAGATTGTCCCTGAGCTAACATCTGCTGCCAATCTTCCTGTTTTTTTTTTTTTTCTCCCTAAAGCCCCAGTACATAGCTGTATATCCTAGTTGTAGGTCATTCTAATTCTTCTATGTGGGATGCTGCCGCAGCATGGCTTGGTGAGCAGAGTGTAGGTCTGTGTCCAGGATCCCAACCAGGGAACCCTGAGCCGCAGAAGCGCAGCACACAAGCTTAACCACCATGCCACAAGGCTGGCCCCAGATTTTCATCTTTTATTTGTTTTCAATCTGAACAGAATTATAAGAATGTGGATAAGAGCTTAGAAACATTGGACTTGCCAAAAATAACAAAAAAAGTGATTATAAATAAAAGATTGTAAAGAGTCTAGGATCCTGTAGTGAAACTAAAGGACTTTCTCTTTTTGGTCTTACTTATTATTTCCTTTAAATGGTTTTGGGACGCCAAGTGTTTGACAACCATGATTTATTTTCTTCTTGTTTGATTGCTGATTTGTATAGATAAGGCTGAATATACTTTTTACATATTGAGTTCATGTACTCTGCACAAAGCAAGTTAAAAATTTTGTCTCTTCTACTTCTTAGCTGAAACTAGCCTGAGGCATAATCATTGTCAAGTTGTGTTTCTCCAGCACTTTTCTCTGCTTCTCTAAGGCAGAGAAGACAGCCAACTACTACATTAAAGGCCTATTGATTGTCCTTCATGTAAACTCTTCAAGGAATACATGGTGATGCGTGGCAATTCGGGTTAAGTGTTCAGAAAGCTGCTCTCCCTCTATTTAATATAGAGAAAAATTTATCTCCAAATTCCTTCATGAGATCGAAAAAGGAATATATTATTTACATTCTCTCTTTTTATAATATATGGCATAAAAAATTAAAGAGAAAAATGTTAGATGTTTCAGAGTCCATATTATTCACATATAAGAGGGCAATACTGAAAGTGAATGTGACTAGCAGTAAAAAATTAAATATATACATAGAAAATTGGGGGAATTTAAAAACTGTTTCATGAACGCAGTTCCAGCTCAGATAGTAACAAGGAAACAAAATAAATAATATTCATTATAATGGATATTTGCCTAGACCACATTTCATTGAAAAAGAAGGTTGCTGTCTAATTGACAAAGTTGGTAATTGTTCTCTATTTTTGGCTGTCAACTTAATCTAACTAAAGCCTATTTATGGAAGGTTTAAAAAAAGAGCATTCTAGCATCATTTCTAAAAGTTCTTTTTAGAGAATTGACAGCATATTTTTATAACATACACTCTTATGTCTGTGAAAACTAAAAATTAACTGAAAATAGTTAAACTCAACATTTTATTCCCAGGTTAAGGAGTGTTTAAATCAGGATGCACATTTTAATAGACCAGACACTTGAGGGCAATATAGGATAACATAATATTATTAAATTATTTACATGTCTAAGCGTATCATATTTCTGAAGGATTATAAACACAGCATTGATTTTCCCTTCTTTATGTCTTTACTCTGTGTAGACGTAGACAGAAGATGAATAGAGCAATAGAATACATTTCTGCTTATTCATTTTATTGTCTCCCCATAATTAGATGGAATATCTATTGTTAGTTTATATTTAATCAATCTTCAGTAGATGTTATATTATGATATCTAAGGGGTTTATCAAGATTGACGATCTAAGTTATATAAAGGAAATAACACAATATGTCCTACTTTCAGACCCAACAGCATTCCAGCAATGCAATTCATACTGTGGATTGGCACTGTCCAAGCACAGTATCTACCAGTTACATGTGGCTACTTACATTTAAATATAAATTAATTAAGAATAAATAAAATTAA